TCTTTAGAGTATCGATGGCTTCCACAAAAAATGTAAATCTCAGTATGCATCAGATTGTACACCAAGACACTTGCCTACCCCTCAGATTCTTCTAGAAACTAAAATACTTCTAATATTTTGTCGACAGTTTAATATCGATACCAATGTAATAGTCTGTGATTTGTGTGCATTGGTTTCGACATGCAGCGCTTCAGTATGGAGGGACTGTCCAACATCCTGCAGACGGGCATCAGGCAGACCTTTGGAAGCACAGGGAATGAGAAACAGGTAGTGTGTCCATGATGCAATTATTAAAAGTCTTTACAACTCACATTGTTGATCGAGTGAAACCAAACATTGCATACCAGGATGCATTGGAAACTATCTGTTGAGCAATAGACAAGTGAAAAAAAATATATATATATATATATATATATATATTATATGTGTGTGTGTGTATTAGACTTCAGTCTTCTTTTAAAATCATCAACACTTTCTTCATCTTGGTTATATTGTATTATAATTCCGTATTTTCCGCACTGTAAGGCACATCTAAAAGCATTAAATTTTCTCAAAAGCCGACAGTGCGCCTTATAATCCGATGCGCCTTATATACAGTATGAATCAATATTCTGATTTCTTGGACCTAGTATTTTAAATGTTCTGTAAAGCACTTTGTTACAGCTGCAGCGGTTGTGAAAGTGTGATATAAAACTGTATTATATTGTATTCCCTTCAGTGTAGCTCCATCTAGTGGAAGCGTAATGCTATGTCAGCCACTATTTTAGCTTCTATGCGCCTTGTATTCCGAAGCGCCTTATAATGCGGAAAATACGGTCTTTAAAATTGAAAGTGACTTCTTGACCAAATTATTCAGATCTTTACCTTTCACACTGTTTCTAGTATCTGAACACTGTCATCCCTTACGAGAAGAAAGGCAGCCCACCATCTGTTGACGACTTGCAGATGCTCACAAAAAGTACGTTTCAAGTCAAATGATAATTGTGTTCCGTATTTACTTCAAACATGGAATAACGTTTTTTGTCATGCAGTTCTTTTAGCCATAAAAGAAGACAGCGAGAAGGTGCCTACCCTGCTAACTGACTACATATTAAAAGGTAAAGAGATAACCAGCCCTAGCGACCAATTCAGGGTGTAGTCTGCCTTCCGCCTGAAGTCAGCTGGGATAGGCTCCAGCAACTCACCCATGACCCTCGTCTGGATAAGCAATGTTGTAAATGGATGGATATTTTTATTATCTGATGTTGTAAAAAATCCTTGGTGACCAAATTGAGTATCCATCGGTTTCTTTCTCCAGTCTTGTGTCCTACCTAAAAGCATCGTCCCAGGCAGGGGGGCGCCACAGTGTGACAGGGACCTCCTCCTTTTGCCGCTGGCCCGAGCAGCATGACCCTTGACCCTCCTCCTCGTTGACCATTATCCCGCAGCATCGACATCATTGTATTCACCTCACCTATGACGACTGCCTCTCGCTGAGCTCATCCTTCTCCCTCCTTGCACTTAATCATGCTTTCGCCAGCCACTGAAATATTCTAAGTGGGACAGCCAGACCCCTCTTTCAAAGGACTTCACAAATGGAGCATGACTCACTGTAAACGATCCCGACACCAGTAATGTGGTGTTGCTGCATTTTATTCCTCTGTTTTCGTTAATATTTATTCTCGTCATAATTCACGAGAGGAACACTGCATTCATAAACGACAACCCTCCCTGTATTGTTTCAATTAAAAGGAATTGATTTGAATACACAGGCCAAGCACTGTTTTCTGACCACTGTCGCGGAATGAGAGAACAACAACAATTCAGGTGCAGTGCATTATTCTTGTTTCCTGTTCCTTTATTTCACTGTGAAATCGCAGTATTTTGTAATCTCTTTTCATTTGTATCAAACCTTTGATAGAAAGTGATTTTTCTACTTTCGTTTAGTGTCACCAGAGTGACGGGCTGCCGTGTATTCCGTATGAATCCGTTCAAATGGACACGTTCCACATTTAACCTCGGATGTGGACCCTTGAGGTCGACTCGTCCAGGAAAAGTGCAAACATTCGCATATTGAGATGTGTAAATGAATCGTACATTGCTGAAGTGCAACTTCTAATAAACATGCTACCCTCAATGACGTGGTGCTGTTTTTATAATAATAATAATAATAATACATTTTATTTGTAAGCGCCTTTCAAAATACCCAAGGACACTTTACAATCAAAAGAGCAATAAAACCACAGATAAAATTATAAATAATAAAAGCAATGAGTTTAAACTGTATATGCAATTTTAAATGGGTGGGTTTTGAGATGAGTTTTGAATATAGGAAGAGAGTCAATATTTCGGATGTCGGGTGGGAGTGAGTTCCAGAGTTTGGGGGCAGAGCGGCTGAAAGCGCTGCACCCCATCGTGCTGAGACGGGCAGAGGGTACACAGGCGGATGAGTTCAGAGAGGTCAGGTGGCGCGAGGTCATTTAGAGATTTGAAAACAAATAATAGGCGGGGGGGGCAAGGTTATGGATGGCTTTGAATGTGAAGAGGAGTATTTTATGCTAGGTGAATTAATTATTTCAAGTTGCTCAACCTGAATTCATGGTATCGATGAGCACTTTTGAAGCTCTTCAACAGCAACATGTCGACCTCTGTTTCCTCAACAAAGGGAGAATACAGAAGTGAGTGTGCACTTATCGCTTTTATATTTCTTTTACAAATTTTAATCCCTTAACGCAGCAGTCCCCAACCTTTTTTGCCCCACGGACCGGTTTAATGTCAGACAATATTTTCAGCGACCGGCCTGTAAGGTGTGACCTTCCCTCCTGTGATTGTGTTTCAATTGTGTGCACATAATTTCTAACCACGGATTTTTGTCGAATACGACCATCGCCAAGAGAGAACCGGACGTTTTTACTTCTAAAACAAACCAAAAGAAAAATGCTGTAGTTAATACTGTATGACGACACAGCAGGCAAACTAGCAATACTCACAGGTCACTATTTTCCTCATCCCCGCAAACAACATATGAATATGAATGAACAAAACCGAAGAATGCCATCTACCGGATTCAGTACTTGTAATTGGTATTTAACAGGTAACATAGTAACTGTACTGTTTGGGGGGGAAAAATGCTTCAGAGTGTCTCAAGGTGTTGTCTAATGGGAAATGATGGACCTAAATGCGAGGAAAGCAGCCAAGAGTAGAAGGCAAGTGGAAAAAAAGCAAAAAAAAAAACCCCAAATATTCTACGAGAAGATGACGATACCATAGTAAGATACTCGACTCTGAACAGATTCATACAAAACAAATCTAACCCTGGACACAAAACACGGTCAGGCTGCATGATCAACCTCGATAGGTTGCAGGCTCATCAAGTAAATACACTGATGCCATTTAGTGGATGCCTCTCGTATCATTTTTAATTGAAAATATGATACAAAGAATTTATATAAACATTGATTATGGAGGATACAAGTACACATCTGTCGGACACTGAGACCACCAGTAGAAATAAATGCATTTGGCCACTTTTTTTTTGTCCCCAGTAGTCCTTCTTAGTTCATAGCACTTCAATTAAAAAAATAAAACATATAAAACCATTGAGTGTTCATATATGGTGCACATTATAATGAATTATATACGGAAACAAAAATACTTTTAGAGATATTTTAAATAAATTCTCTTGTTCATAATGCACAGTTCAGAATTTCAAACACTGACCTTGAATTGTAGCGGTATCAATAATCAAATTGTTCTCACCAAACATGATTTTCATTTTTGCACAACACCACAGATTTGAGATCCAACTTTTCACTTTCGGAAGGGTTTGTAAAATGCCCCTTTTTGTTCTCCTTGTAAATTCGTCATGTCTTGGCTTTTCGTGATCTTCAAACCGACAGTAGCAGAACAATAACGATTTGCTCCAGTGTGATGACGATACAGCATCTCAAATCGTTTTACATAATACTGTACATATTTAATACATTTTTTTTCACCAGATCAAAATTCAATTCTTTTATACCAATCTGAACAAGTTCAAAGAATGAAAAGTATGCAGACTGTTTTTCTTTGGTTCAGTATCCAGTGTTCAAGGCAGAAATAACTTAACACGTAATCCGAGTTTATACCCGCACACTATTGCCGATATCACGCTTTGCTCACTGTCATAATAACAAAAAGAAAATGAAATAAATATACCATATTTACATTTCTTGTGCTGCCTGCAACCTCAATCAATTCAACTTAACATTGTGTAGTATTTTTTTAAACTTAAAATAATTTCGAAATCATGTTGAGGGTGATCTGATTTTTTTTTTTTTACAACTGTGCTGCAATGGAATTAATCAAACATTTTAATGCCGAAAGGATTTATCGGTGCTATTTTTTTTTTTTTTTTTCCATTTCATGGCTTGGCTTCTTTAGTTTCTGACGATGTCTTTTTTTTCCATGAACAAATGCACATCTACCGCTGTTGATTTGTATTCACAAATGTGCCTTATTGGGAAAGTAACACTTTACAATTGCAGGTGGCACCTCCGAAGCAAAAACGCGAATGAAACACAAAGTTGTCCAAGCGTCAAGTTACATTGACCCTGAATAGTGCTGTTTATAAGTAGCTAAATAAATGTGCTAAGTCTAAGAGTTCGTTAAGTTGACCAGAAAAAGGCCCAAAACAAAAAGCATTAAGATAGCAGAAGAAAGTGCAACCAATAAAAGCTGTTGAGATTGAATGACATACAATTTTAAAAAAAAAAGCAAAAATTGTAAGGTAGAAAAGATTAAACAATGTCACTCAAGAGTGCGTAAAAGAATATAAAAAAAATCATATATATGTATATATATATATATATATATATATATACACACACACACACACACACACACACACACACACACACTGTATACCTAAAACAAGGAGTGAGTCCTAGAATCTTGAAAAGTTTAACGAATTGAATTCTGAATTCATCAGTGAAAAGAGCTCCAGGTGAACCCTTCCAGGAACATAAAGGGAACCTTTTTTCCCCCCACAGTTAACAGCATACCTTAGCACGTCATGGCTATTGTTAGACAAGAGATCCAGCCTGGTTCTGCGCGGGCACCATAATGGGCACCCCGCCCATGCGGGCGATGTTGGAGCCGGTGAGTGTGGAGGAGGGAAGCGGTGGAGGGGGCGGAGTGGCCTGAAGCTGTAACTGAGGGTGACTATAGGTCTGTGGCAGCATCTGGGCCTGCGGCAGCTGGGTGGAACGCTCCGGTCTGGGTTGGGAGCCCCCATTGGCGTTGGCTTCCGAAGAGGCGAGCTGGTCACGCGGGAGAGTGGTGGTGGTGTTGTAGCTGAAGTGGGTCGGGGTGGTGGCTCCTTGATGGCGCGACGGACGGTAGCCGGCTGTGCTGCCAGTGGCTGTGATGATGGAGGCCGTGTCGGATGGAGCGCGCTGAGGGTACTGCTGCAAGTGGTGGTGGTGGTGGTTTTGTTGGTGTGAGGGCTCTCTGTGTTGCGGGCTGGAGGCGATGGAGGACAAGGTGCCGTTTTTGGAGATGATGTCGGAACCCATTCCGCTTTTAGCCCAGGACACACGTTTGGGAGCCTGAGCGTCCTCTCTGAATGGTGGGATAAGACATAGGTGTGTGAAGGAAAGTTTGCTTGAATCTTCCAGTTGTGTAGTTGGCACTGAATCGGAAGTTGGCACTGAATCAAAGCAATGATTATATTCTCAAAGTCCAAACAGTATTACAGGTACGATTCAAGCACGGTTCATTTGAAAGTTTTTATTTAGATGAGATTTTTGTGGGATGATTCGATTTTGGTTGGATACAATGGGAATACGATTTGATTCAATATGTTTTTGCTCTGTTCGACCGGGTATGATGCCATGAGTTTCTTGTTGATTTTACAAACTGAACTGAACATGATTTGCAAATAAAATGAATCCAACGTCCAATTTTCACTGGAATGGGACGGAACATTTATATACATATGTGTGTGTGTGTGTGTGTGTGTGTGTGTGTGTGTGTGTGTGTGTTCAGCTTATCATGTCATCAGGTTACAGGGTGCATGAAAGGGTTAAATATAATAAATATGACAACTGCGTACATCGAAGCCTTTGAGTCTTTGTGGAAAACAATTCATCTAACGCATTATTATTGTCAGCTACAGCACAGCTAGGAGGCTAGGATTGTGGGATCACACACGGACACGTGAAGATCTGCTTGCAGTTCCTTCTAAAGGTACTTTGTGAGCTCCGACCTCCCGCTTGGACTTCAGCTACTCAGTTGACTGCGCCTCTCATGTGCCGTTTTGAAAATGAATGAGGAGGAGATTGGTGAACTGAGAGTTCAATGTTTTTCTTAAAGATCCTGCGAAATGATCATGGGAAGAGAGGTGCGACCACCTTCGGGTTGAGAGACAACCACTCGAGGCAGCACTCCGCTGCTCCCATGAAGACTGGTTTAGGTCAAACTAACCGACTTGGAATCTTTTGTCAGAGAGGTACTGTCATCCAACTCACTTGATTTCATTTGCCATGTCATCTTCGTTGTCCCGTTGCCTCTTCTTAAGGAAAAACACGCAAATGAGTATAAGGCAGAGGACGCCAACCACCGTGCCCACCGTGGCGCCGACAATCACCCCAACTTTATTGGCTGCAGAGAAAATCATAGCACACAACAATTACATGGTATCAACACCAAATAATTCAATAGCAAGGTATATAATGCATGTTTTGGGCGTAATACACAAAGAAAACAAAATACCCTTTTAAAAACAGATTACAAGGGTTTTGGCATTTACTTTACTACTTTGGAGTAGTCAACAATTTGTTCTCTGCCATAAAGTTCTCTGTTAGATTGGGTGGAGCGGCCGAAAGCTGTAACTGAGGATGTACTATTCAGAAAACATGTTTCAAAAAGCTATTACTTGTAGACAGAAAAAGAGGTTGGCGAACCAAAACCTGGTGTTGCGAGACCTCAAAAGGGCCAGGCTGGAGTAAAAGTAGTGGATGTGGGCGTTCACTTGGGAAAGTGGGAAGTGATGAATTGTACAAGTGGTTGAAAACAAAGGGAGGAGAATTTTCGTCGTACAGATGGGTGAGGCAGTGGGATCGAGCTGGGAAGGTGTTTGCAGCAGGTTGGAGTGATTCAAGACAAGAGATGAAAATGTTCTGAACAGGTCCAAAATGGTGCTGAGTAGATGAAAGGAGTCAATATAAGAAAAAGAAAAAGAAAGAACAACTCATGTAAAGTGCGCAAACAGGACCTAGGCCAGACTAGACAGGACGAGGTGCCGACCCTTGAATAGGTTCAAGTCTAAAGGTACTGTATTTTCCGCACTATAATGAATGGCCTATTTTAAAACTGTTTTCATAAATAGGACACACTGCATTATAAGGCGAATAGAATAGAAGCTACAATATTGGCTGTGGTTGCGTTATGCAGCCACTAGATGGAGTGACGCTAAAGCAGGGATCTCAAACTCAGTTCCTGGAGGGCCGCTGTCCTGCATGTTTTCCAAGTCTCCCTGTTGCAACACAGCTGATTCAAATGATCAGATCATCAGCAAGCTCTGCGGAAGCCTGACATTGAACCTGTTCATTTGAATCAGATGTGTTGCAACAGGGAGACTTGGAAAACATGCAGGACAGCAGCCCTCCAGGAACTGAGTTTGAGACCCCTGCACTAAAGGGAATACAATACAGCATTGATTTATACCGAGCCTTCACAACCGCTGCAGCTGGAACAAAGCGCTTTACAAAACATTTAAAATACTATATCCAAGAAATCAGAATATTGATCCATATAAAAGGCGCACCGGATTATAAAGCGCACTGTGGGCTTTTGAAATTTTTGAATTCTTTTAGGTGTGCCTTATAGTGTGGAAAATGCGGTAAATGGGAAGAATGGTACAATCCAAGTCACGTATTGCCCCTTTAATACAGGAGTGGTTCCAGAGCATAGCAACTGACAGTATTTTTTTTCTCTCTCTGATATTAGTGATGATGTTGATTATGATGATGATGAGGGTAATAGTTGTGTTGTACATACAGGTGGAAATCTCCAGGTTGATGAAACAGCTTTCAGATCCGGCTATATTGCTGGCAGTGCACACATACTTCCCTGACATGTTACTGCTCAGGTTACTCAGCTTCAGAGTGCCTGTCTTCTCATCTAAAATGGCATTTACCAAGAAAGAGGACAACAGTCATGTATGCATTTACTCACTTGATGCAATATACAGTACCGTATTTTCCAGAGTATAAGTCGCAGTTTTTTTCATAGTTTGGCCGGGGGTGCGACTTATACTCTGGAGCGACTTATGTGTGAAATGGTTAACACAGTGTACACATCACATGTTATTTTCACATTATACCGCAAGAGGGTGCTCTCGGCCTGTGTTGATACTTTCTACGTTGGCGGTAACTGAGAAAAACAACTGACAATGACTCTGACGTAAGCGACGTAGAAGAGGAAGCGCTGCATCTTCTACCTCCGGAGTTGGCGGAGTTGTTTAAAAGTGACACCGAGCATGAAGATTTCATTTGATTTCGTGATTTGGAGTGACGCTGATGGTTTGGTAAATTTGTAAGCATGTTCTTTGTGCTATAATTGTCTAAATAACTCTTAATATGTTACGTGAACATACCAGGCACATTCACAGTTCGTTGTTTAAGCGTCATGTAACGTTAGCATATCGTACACTTATTCAGCCCGTTGTTCTCTAGTTTTATTATTATTTTAAATTGCCTTTCAAGATGACATGTATGTTTTTGGTGTTGGATTTTATCAAACAACTTTCCCCCCAAAATGCGACTTATACTCCTGTGCGACTTATACTGTACATGTTTTTTCCTTCTTAATTATGCATTTTTTGGCTGGTGCGATTTATAATCCGGAGCGACGTATAATCCGAAAAATACGGTATATTGAACGAAGGAATGAAGGCACACTAATAAATCATACAAAAACAGATTACAAGTGTGGAGAACAGACCAAAGCTAACTGCTCAAGTTACCATAAACATCTGGAATTGGATGTCATCGAAAATGAGTTAAGTTTCCTTTTTTTTTGTTTTTTTGAAAAAGAATAACAATCAGTAGGTTGAAAGTTGAAGAGCAGTGAAATATTTTGACTGATAGATTTTTATATCCACAGCAGTATGGGACAGATTCCGTCCCTTTGAAGGGATGTCAATAAACCAGACACTGCTTTTATTTCGAATGAGTTTGCTAAATCACTTGGTGATCTCAATCATGTCGGACAGTTGTGTGGGCTCCACTCACTGAGCATGGGTGAGAAGAAGACCTCAGAGGAGGGACTGGCTCGCTTCCACTTATACAATGGAATCGGCTTCCCACTGCTGGACTTGCAGCTCAGAGTCACATTTCCTTTCAGCACTGGTTTCCCTGATAAAGTGCACTTAGGGACAGATGGGGGCACTGAGTGGAGAAGGGGAGGGATCATTACATTCTTTATTGAGTAAAACATGAAAGTACGAAATAGTTCTTACCTCTGACATCCAGGCTGAGCTCGGCAGTGAGGCCAGGGTTATCCGGGATGATGACTTGGCAGAGGTAACGTCCAGAATCGGACTCCTGGGTGTTGTTGATGTACAGAGACACGTCACTAGAGGGCATGCGAGAGGTGAACCCAACTCTGCCCTGAAACTGGGAACTCCCCACACTGATGGAGCCTTTCGTGTAAGAGATTATCTAAACAAGAAAAGAGAGGCAAAGGTAGTTTATAGAGTACTACTGTATTTCTAAATGCTTTGGTCAAAGTGAGGAACGTTCTCTGATGTCATCCAAAAATGTCATGAAGTATTTCGGCAACTCTGCTATATAATGAAGCAAGCTGATTTAAGGCAAACACACGCTTAGTGGACACTATAAAATACATTTGCAAAAATATAAAATTGCAAGACAATTATTGAGTTGAGAAATACTTCTCATTTTCAACAGAAATACTGCAACGATGAATATACTCACAATAATAATGCCAGAAAAATATTTCCTACAGTTTTGACTATTTTAATTTACAAAAAAAAAAGGAAAAATAATAACCAACTGCTTGTGCATTGCCAAAGACAAAAACAATGTTCTTTTTCAGTAAACTAAAAAAGGTTTGCTGTGAATGTATTGATTTTTATTTCGTCCACTGGTTGCAATGAAATAAAATCATCTGAATCTAGAGACATTTTTTTTTATGTAGACCCTACAATGGCTTAAAAAATGTCTCTGGTTTCAGATTACATTTTGTACACCCGTTTGATGAAATATGGAGTCAGCACACTATTTTTTTTCCGGTTTACACAGTGGTACAACATAATTTTGTAATGCCGGGAAGACAAACACACACAAAAAAACAAACAAACAAAAACTTGCCATCATTCCTTGTTGTTGCTTCAATTATTTAGGCAGATGACTGTATGTAACACTCTGAAATGTCTCTCGGTGTGAGTATGAGCGCTAATGGTTGTTCGTCTACGTGTGCCCTGCGATTGGCTGGCAATCAGTTCAGGGTGTACCCCGTCTACTGCCCAAAGACAGCTGGGATAGGCTGTAGAAAATGAATGAATGGATAACTGTAGGTATGCCTACATACCCAATTGAATATCATAATGGCATTCACTGAAATCACAAATTTACATCCCATACTGTTCTGCTGGAATAATAACTATTGAATACACGTAGTAAGTCGCCTCTTGTTTATTCATAGCACAAAAAGTCACGCACTGCGCTGCCTGCCTCCATTGGCTAAAACCCCCTTTGAAAGAGAGCTGTCATGAGCTCTCTTTTGACCCTGTTCCTCGATTGTATGTGATTTTACATTCCTCTCTGGTCAATGCCATAATGTTATGGTGACGGATAAACACAGCCAAGGTCAGATTCTCAAGATAATATGTTGCAATAAAAGGTCATTGAACTAAGTAAAGGAGTGTTATTTTGCTTAGCTATAAAACCTCCTTTTCCCTAGATAACAGCATGATAACATCATCCCGTATTAAAAAAAAATATATCAGCAACATTACCTTGCGCAAACCAAATTACCGTATTTTTCGGATTATACATCACTCCGGATTATAAATCGCACCAGCCAAAAAATGCATCATTAAGAAGGAAAAAACATATATAAGTCGCACTGGAGTATAAGTCGCATTTTTGGGGCAAATTTATTTGATAAAATCCAACACCAAAAACATACATGTCATCTTGAAAGGCAATTTAAAATAAAAATAAAACTAGAGAGCAACATGCTGAATAAGTGTACGATATGCTAACATTACATGACGCTTAAACAACGAACTGTGAATGTGCCTGGTATGTTCACGTAACATATTAAGAGTTATTTAGACAACTATAGCACAAAGCACATGCTAACAAATTTACCAAACCATCAGCGTCACTCCAAATCACGAAATCAAATGAAATCTTCATGCTCGGTGTCACTTTTAAACAACTCCGCCAACTCCGGAGGTAGAAGATGCAGCGCTTCCTCTTCTACGTCGCTTACGTCAGAGTCAT